TCTATATGTCGCTTGCATCTGGGAAGGAACAAAAGTCTAGTGCAAAGTCGGGCCAAGGCGTGCCCGAGAAATCACAACTCTATGGTTTTTTTTTTTCGACAGACTCTCCCGTTCTTTACTTCAATCAAACTACTAAGATTACTAGGATTAATAGTGACATGCACTTTGAAAAAGTTATGCAGATTTAGGTAAAGAATGTGTATCCAATAGTTGGTGCAGTCCTGTTTATAGTCATTATTTATTTCTGAGCATCTTGAAGCCAATTTCTTTAAATAACAAAACATTGCAATAGCTTAGACATTTTCACTTTTTAATGGGCCCAAAAGTTGGGTTACTTGATGTTGTATGGTGTGTCGAGCCTAATCACTCATAATTAATTAACCACTCTTAATTAACATTCTGAAGTTAATTGCAAAATAATTTCACTAAACAATGTCTTAAACAAAATACAAAACGAACGGCCTTGGTTGGCAACACTCGACCACCTGCAGAGTGTCTCGGTCCGGTCCACAAGAGCCGATCCGATATGTCTATTGGCCCTTATAATGGCTATATAAACATTGCTTCTAATTATGGCCAAAAGTGTCTCATCAACTCCAAATGTTTACGACCAACTTATGGATAATTTATGTTTGGCTAACAGCGCACGCTTAATTAGACCCACGCTCTGGCCAAAACGGAGTACCGGAGACAAAAAACAAAAACAAAAAACCGTACCAAATAGACAAATAAACAAATATATTTTGTAGTTTTTAATTAAGCAACTTTTTTTCTGGTGTCTTTTGGTTGCCCACGCAACAGGCGACATAAGCTGAATGCTATGGCACGCGCCTAGCGCCGACAATTCTAGGCGCACATAAAACATTGACCTGATTTTCGAAGCCGTCGTCAACGGCGGCAGCGACGACGCCGTCAACGCGTCAGCTCGTCAGCTCGTCAGTTCGTCAGCAGACAGTCAACATTTGACGTTGAGTTGGCAACTGGGGCGACCCCCAACGCTTGGGTGCCTGAGTGGCATGAAATTGAAGCATTTGGTGGCACATTCGTCATACATATACTTGTAGTACTCGTGCCTCATGCTCGTACTAGCTCTGCAGCTATTGCTATTGCTATTGCGACTCGACTGACTAATGGAGCCCAACCAGTGGGCCAAAATGTGGAGCAGTTTGAACTCTGTGCCCAATTGAAAGAAAGGCATACCACACACTCGTACATACTATACTTGTACATACAAGTACATGCGAAACTTTTGTGGCACCTTTTCGGTACCACTCGCTGATAGCTGAGGTTAGTGGAACCGTACCGGACGACATTGTCTGCCTCCTCTGTTTCAGTTCTCTCCACTGTCGACTCCAAAGAAAATGAATTAATGTTGGTTCTTTTCGTTTTTAGTCTCAATTCTCGCAGCAGAATACATAAATAAACATCCCAGTATTAGCGATGGGTGCGTGCCGTGAATCATATTCCGGAGCGTGAATCAATGTGATTCATAAAGTGGAATTGATTTGAAAATACTTGTATGTATGTTTTTTCATTCAATACAATCAATTGAAGAAATCTGTTTAAAAGTTCATTGCAACATTTGGCAGAAAAAACAAGGCAAAAGGCATGCGATGATGCGACTTTGCTTTTAAATCTTATACTCTTCTTTAACAACATTTAAATGTTTGCTCCGAAAACTTGTTAAAATCTTTCGTTTTGCCTCGAACATTTATTTAACAATCGTAATCGCCTTCTTTCTTGGTTTATGCTCTTTAAGCTTAGCACTATAATATTTAATATTTTTTAAGAATACAATACAATTAATTTCCTCAAAATCAAATGTGCAATTTGTAATACAAGTATGGGAACAGCATTAGAATTATTTCACTCTTTTCACTTGCAAGAGAAATAATGTGAAGAATATAAAATGAGGTAAATAAATTTTAATTCTGAATCAAGTAGATCCAAAATACTTGTAGTTCTCTAAATTGTATGCATGTCCTTGTTACCATGCCACAATTTTACAAACAACGTACAAAGTATATAATACGAAGTGGTTTTTGAATCAGTTTTCATGCTCGGTGTTTTTTAAGCTCGTCAGTCAAATGGTGAACATATTTTATTTCCAAATAAAGCACTAGTTGAGAGTGAAATTGGCAAAACAGCAAGAATGCGACTAGTTCTACCAATTAACACCAAACTATATTTTAAACTATTTCCGAACATAAGTATTTCAACATAATTTTAAAGTTGACAACAAAAAAATATTATTGACAATGTCATAGGCTCTTCCGCAGATACTTACTCGTATAATGGCCAATTATTTCTGGTTTGGTAACTAACAGTTAAAAAACCGTTAACGCTAAGACTGATTAACTTTTTCGGGCTAGAATTCAAGGCAGATGACTTGTCAATTCTTCGCAGATTGCGCAATAAATTGAGCAGAAATTATCAACACCAAAGAGATTTGCACAAAAAAAAAACGGTATTAATACTATATGTATGTGTGTATGATAATAATGGCGTTGATGATGATGATAATGATGATGATGACGGGCAGTCACTCGGAACTCTTTGTCTATCGGTTTTATGCAACGCAGAAAGCACAGAAAGCAAGAGTTAATGGGAGCCTATTAATAAGAAACGACATTACATGTGCATATATCGGACATATGTATGTCTAGTATGTGTGCATGTGTTGTCTGTATATAGATACGCGTATTATGCATATGACCAGTATTATAGTTATTGTTATGGGCTGGCGATTTTTTTATGGCTTTTTAAACGCGCATAATATGCTTCAATAGTGATCTGAATATATGTGCCAATAATTTGCATAACAATATCGTTTTATGGCTGGCCATCGGTCGATCTAGTCTGTTATTTACAGCTGAGGATGAAAAAATAGAACTATTATAAGAATCTGTTCTCGACTGTGCTTCAATCTTCCATACAGCAATCCATACAGGCATCCCTTTGAGGGTTCATTAAATAGAAAAACTAAATATAATTTAAGGTGTTTATTTAAGAATTTGAAAGTCTTCTTAGCAATATTATTCGTAAATAGGTATGACGTCTTGACATTTTTGAAAAACAGCAAAATTTGTGAGTTCATTATCCTTTGGTTGCAAGTCTAGTCCCAATGTAAAAGGGGCTTTTTCAAAATAGCAGGGCTTTTTTCTTTGGCGACTCTATTGCCTTTTTTGTTTTTTCTAATTCGTCCAATAATTTAGCATTGCGGATCCTTTTATGATAAAAGATCATATCAAGATCTTCTAGCATTTTTTCTTCACAGAAAAATCATTTCAATTACTGCAGTGCTATTTTTTTCATCGCCATTGTAAATATACACATACACTTAATACAAATGTATGTATTTATGGACGAGTGGCACGATCTTGGTCACAGAACTTGCTTATCGCATACCTCACAATGTGGCACCTGATCGACGCCCACACGCATTACGCCGCACTTTCGATTCCATCAACACAATGTTGCATGCATTTTGTTGCCCAGATTTTTATTTATCTCAATCGTGACGTTGTTGTTGTTGTTGTTGCTCTGTGTCAGGCATTACAGACAGATATGACAACTTACAATTCATGGCAAAGCTGTAAATTTTTACCCACGCACATTACAAATAAAACACACAGCAATTCCAGTAACTCTGAAAAAGAGACACTGGACATAGCCAGCCTAAATGCTCTTCTCTACAAAAAATTATATTATTTAATATTGTCCGATTATTCGTGATGGATACATTCAAACGAACCAAGCCACATCAGCAACAAATTTCTAATCGAAAGTACATAGATTTTTAATTTGTTCTACCAGTTTTTCCCCCTCGTATGGAAAAAGTCAATCCATAAAAATTTATTAGTCTCTTCGCTTTACATAGCTTTGATTGTTCTTCGAGTAAATGGGTTTCAACTTTTATCTGCCTTTGAAATACATATCTGGACATTTGTAGCTTTCTAACATTTCTTACTTTACCTGCTATTGCTTGAGTGGCATATCCTTCATCTGATTCCATTTTAAAGCCAAAATCTTGGTTGAAATAAGTGGTATGGAAATGATTGGTGAAGCTTACTATGTTATGCTCATATTATAGATTGTCTTGCAGCTCTAGTCGGAGAGTTGTAGGTTTTATTTGATAGTTTGTTTCAAGTCTCTCATAATCTAAAAATATTCATAAAAATTTAGCTTTCAAGTTGAAATTGTAACGTATATTACATATTTTTTTTTTATATACGGGTATATATATTATTCTTCTTTTCTATCAACAGCCAATTTTGTTGATTTAATTTAAATGTTAATATAACTACAATGTTTTTTCGCAATATTTGAAGCAACTAACAGATATGGATATTTGTGTAAAACTAATTTAAATGTTTGTCGCAAATAGAACCCTTTCTAAGATTGCCAAAAATAGCAGATTTCACTTAACTTCTTAGGAACAATTGCTGATTGTTGTCTGCTCATAAATGCCCTTTCGAGGGTTAGGGTATTGCACACAAATCAAATCTCGCACAACACAGCACACGCACCAACAGACGCGCACAATGCAATGCAATTGCATATTGGCCGACTTGGCTCAGTTCGTATCTGCAATATGTAGTTGTCCCGCCTCGACTCCGATGGAATGGAATTGAGTGTGGCTTGAAGTGGCTTGGCATGTGAGTTGACAGCCATTTGTCTGGCCAGACACCTAGGCACGTCAACATGGATTAGGCGCAGACAGAGCGAGGCTATGGCCATGTGTCTGTACGAGTATGTGTGTTCGTGTTCGTGTTGGTGTTGGTGTTGAGGCCAATGAAGTTGTCACAATGTTTGCGACTTGGATCGGCCCACGCCCAACGGCAATTCTCTAATTTCTAAGCTGTTTAAGATTTTTGAGAAATATGGTAGTTTCAAATTTGAAATAATTCCCTAATACAAGTATGTGTAGTATAAGTTATATTCGATTCGATTTGAGAAATAATTCCAACAATTTCTTTGCTCTCCCAACTCGCCCACAGAAGCTGCAATCCTGTCCCATTGTCTGCATCAATGAGCCTGACACGCATAGTGCCAACACAGAAATATTGCAAACAACGCCGGATAGCACTTTGGAGAAGCCAAAAGCAGCAGCAACAACAGTAACGACTATCAGCAACAGCAACAACAACAGCTGCATTACAATCAATGCAGCACCACCAACAACAACTGCATCAGCAGCAGCAACAGCAGCAGCAACAGCACCAACAAGCACAACAACAAGCAACGCGGGTGTAACTAAAATAACGATAACCAGTGGCGGCAACAACAACAGCAAGAGTGTTGCTCTCAGCAACTACCACAACAGCAGCAACAACGCTGGCAGCAGCACCAACAACAGCAACAGCTTGATATCCATTACCAGCCTCAACAGTTGCAGCAACTTGAGCACAACTGGCAGCACAGCAACTCTGCCCTTAAGCAGCATCAGCAGCAGCAACAACAACAACAACAGGCACAGCAACAATCCGAACGCCAACGCCAGCGACACATCGTCGGCGAATTTTCAAGAACGTTTCGACTTTGATCACTGGAAGGGCGTCATCAGCGACTTCAGTTGCCTTAACGGTCTCTATCGCTATTGGAATCAGTATACCAGCAACAACAACAACAACAACAACAGTGTCAACCACTCGAACGTTTCCCAAGAACATGCCGATGAGAACGGCGTGGGCAGTGGCGGTGGTTCCTTCTACACAAATAATATATTAGGCTACACCTTTGGCTATCCATTTGGACTTAAAGAGGACAACAACAACAGCAGCCACAGCAGTGCTGGGAGCCTAAAGAAGGCGCCAGCAAGCAACGAGACGCCACTCCAGAAACACTACCGACAACAGCAGAAGAAGAAGATGCCCGTGTTCCGAGGAAGACGCGTCTGGTGCGGCTGCTTTGAGGTGAGTCCACCACAAAATCCAATCATTCCAATACTTACTCCCACATATACATGCATGCGAATGTAAATTTCAAGACGTGCCATTAGAATTGTGGGGGCGACACTCTTCGATAGGGCGTCGAGCCGAAATCAAAGCAGTCGCAATTGAAAAAAAGTCACGTGCCGGTTGCCAAGAGGCATTACATGCATATATATATATATATACTTACCAGATATACATATGTACGAGCATATATGTTGGTGGGCAGTTGGTAAATTGAGAACCCCACCTGACAGTTTCGATAAAACCAAAGAGTAAAAGAGAAAAATTAATCGGAAAGTCATTTTTAATTCGCGACATTTTCGTCAAATTGCACAACCAGCTGGCCAAGATATGGGAAAAAAAACACACCCTAAATTTGTCGTATATGGGCCATTCCAAAACAGTTGCCCTTCCGACCGAAGGGGCAAGGAGAAGGGGGCATGGCATATATTATAGGCACATGTGTGATCAGCATGACGAAACGAGTCGATGTAGAAATATCCATTTGTCCGTCCCTATGAACTCCTAGAAATCCTGATCTCTAATAGCCAGGGACACTAAACTTGGTGTGTAGACTTGTCGTATCCATCCGCAGTTTAAATCAATTACTAACCATATATACTTGTAACCTAATTATGTTTTGTAGCTGCCATAGGACCGATCGGTGCAAGAATAACTCTGCGTATGAAAAAGTTTTCTGTTTCTGCAGGGTCATTCGAATAACTTCCTCTTATATTTCCTCTTTGTACATATTTTTCTATGTTAAAGATTCCTTTCCCATTTTCCAAAAATTTGCACTCATTTTAAAGTAACTGTTTGATGATTTTTGATTGATTGAGTTATCAATGTCAAAAAATACAAGTCTCTATTCGTTTGAACTACTTGTAAATTATTAGAGTTACTGATCTTTTGGAAAATGGGCACAGAAGAGAACAGAGAACGCCAACACTGCTTAGTCAGCAAAAAGGCAAGTGAGCTTCCCTGTCCGTCGCCCCCACCTTGTCGCTTGGACTATCGTTTTCTGCACCGACACTTCTGATTTCATTGCACCCATATTAGCCTCTAAGTAACTGCGGCAAGGTTGAGCAATGCGAGTAGACGTCGAGCCATCAAATGCAATTCTTAATTGGACATGCACTGTTAACTGCCAGTCCGATTCGTCATTGCAGCCAGAGAGTAATGATGGCATTTGTTCAGTGGACTAATCTTGACATTCGTTTCTTTGTTGGCAGGATGACGAGCCGCCCGAGATCTGTGTGGTGGAGGGCGCCTTCACACTGCAGACACTCACACCCACACAGCCAATGCCCGCCGTCGATGAGCTGGACACAAAGTTCGCGGAGCTGGTGGAAGAGCTGGATCTGACGGCACCTAACAAGGAGGCAATGCTCAGTCTGCCGCCGCAAAAGAAATGGCAAATTTATTGTTCACGCAAGCTGCCGCTGGATGCCAGCGATGGTCCAGACGCATCGGCGATAACCCAACCACCCACGGCCGAGCACTACATCGAACGTTTGAAGGAGCTGGTGGTACACGTCTCGCTCAGCCCCGAGGACTCACCCAGCCATGAGCTGAGTTCGCGCATCGACAACCACACCGTCTTTGTGGACGCCCTGAAAACGGCGCTGCGCACCTCCACGCACAGCTTTGTGCTGCGCTTCGTGGAATTGGACGGATTGCCAGCGCTGCTCAATCTGCTACTCCAGCTGGACATACGCGTGGCGAACAGTCCGCTCCACACGAGCCTAATTGGCTGCATAAAGGCGCTGATGAACAACTCTATGGGTCGCGCCCATGTATTGGCCCATCCGACAGCTATCGATACGATTGCCCGATCACTGGCAGCGGACAACATACGCACGAAAATCGCGGCACTGGAGATATTGGGTGCAGTCTGCCTGGTGCCTGGCGGACATCGGAAGGTGCTGCAGGCTATGCTGCATTTCCAGGAATTTGCGACAGAGCGCACACGTTTCCAGAGCATTGTTAATGATCTGGACCGTTCAACGTACGCATACCGCGACAATGTGAATCTCAAAACGGCACTCATGTCGTTCGTAAACGCGGTGCTCAACTATGGACCAGGTCAAGAGAATCTGGAGTTCCGTCTCCACTTGCGCTACGAATTTCTCATGTTGGGCATTCAGCCGGTCATTGACAAGCTGCGTACACATGAGAACGAGACTCTGGACAGGCATTTGGTAAGTGCAAGCTTTAGGGGCTAGCTTAGCCCCAACCCCCAAACGCTTAGAGACTAACGCGCACCACTCATCCACGACGTATAGGATTTCTTTGAAATGGTGCGCGCCGAGGACGAGAAGGAGTTTGCACGTCGCTTTAATCAGGAGCATGTGGATACCAAGAGCGCCGGTTCAATGTTCGAGCTTTTGCGTCGCAAGTTAAGCCACTCGCCCGCCTACCCGCACATGCTGTCATTGCTGCAGCACATGCTGTTGTTGCCATGTGAGTAGATCGAACATAATGCCAGCCCAGATCCACTATTTGAACGTCCTTTCTACTTTTTTACCTCAGATACCGGCCATTGCACTGAGCATTGGCTGCTTATCGATCGAGTTGTGCAGCAGGTTGTCTTGCAGGTGGAGCAGCGACCCAGCAGTGACCTCATTGTCGATCCCGACGATCCAAACAAAGCGCTCAAGCTAGCCGCCGAATCACCCGTGCACGATCCGGATGTGGCACCATTACAGATCGATGTCAACAAGCTAGTGCGCTTGCTCGTCAAAGAGGAGGAACTGACACAGGCTCGCAAACGGGCCGACGAACTGGAACGTGAGAACTTTGACATACAGTCACGACTGGCCAAGAAGGAGCAGGAACTGGACTTGCGCATGCAGGAGAAGGAGGATCTGGAGACCAGTCTAGCACGCATGCGCGAGCGCCTAGAAAAGGAGTCCGCTCAGCACTCGCAGGCCGTGCAGCGCGCCCAAACAGCCGAAATGAAGGCCGAAGATCTGCAGCATCGTCTGCATAGTGAGCAACAAGAACGTGCACGTCTCGAGCGTCTGGTAACTGAGGGCAGCATACCCGACGACCAGAAGGTGGCCGGGCTGACCGGTTGCAATGGCGCTGTGTCGCCCCCACCTCCACCACCGCCCATGCTAAAGACGGGGCCACCACCTCCACCACCCATGGCGCCCGCCATGCTACCGCCACCACCGCCCCCATGTCCTGGAGCGCCTCCGCCACCACCCAACATGGGTCAGCCAGCAATGAGTAAGTAAACACATCCCATCAACACCAAACCGAGGTCTAACCCCCCTTCTTTGTGCAGCACCAGCGCCACCCAAAGTTGAGTTGCCAAAGAAGAATGTGCCACAGCCAACCAACCCACTGAAGAGCTTTAACTGGTCGAAGCTTCCCGATGCCAAGCTCCAGGGTACCGTCTGGAGCGAGCTGGATGAGTCGAAGCTCTATAACAACATGGAGCTGGAATCAATTGACAAGCTCTTCTCTGCCTATCAGAAGAACGGCGTTTCGGTGAGTTGTAAACATTGTCCTCAACCAAGCCCCAACTGATTAATATTATGCATTGCTTCTGTCAGACCACCGACGGCTCCTATGAGGATCTGCGTTTGACTGGCAAGAACAAACAGAAAATACTGTCCGTCATCGATGGAAGACGTGCACAGAACTGCACCATTTTGCTCAGCAAGCTGAAAATGAGCGACATGGAAATATCGAAGTAAGTATCTCGTAATTGGGGCTAATCGGGATAGAAAGAAATTCATGTATTTCCTCCACTACGCAGAGCCATTCTCTCCATGGACAGCAATGAGCAGCTGGCCCTCGATATGGTCGAGCAACTGCTCAAGTTTACACCATCAGCCGAAGAACGTGCGCTCCTGGACGAGCACAGCGAGGATATTGAATCGTTGGCCCGTGCCGATCGCTTCCTTTACGAGATATCCAAGTGAGTGCAAGAGAGAAAGATCTCAGAGAAAGATGTTCCCATCAATTATATTTCCTATTGCTATAGAATACCCCACTATGAGCAGCGATTGAAGAGCCTGCACTACAAGAAACGCTTCATGCTGACCATCAATGACCTTATACCGCGCATCACCAGCGTCATGGAAGCATCCCGAGAGGTGGCACGCTCTCGTCGTCTGCGCAAGCTACTAGAATTGGTGCTAGCCTTGGGTAAGTTCTCACTCTCTCTCCCTACATATCTACTGAGCTAATCCCTCTGCCCTCCGTAGGCAACTACATGAACCGCGGTGCACGCGGTAATGCTTCCGGTTTCCGTCTGGCCTCGCTCAATCGCCTGGCCGACACCAAATCCAGCGCTGCCAAGGGCACAACTCTGCTGCATTATCTCGTGCAGGTAATCGAGAAGAAGTTCAAGGATCTGCTAAAGCTCGAGGACGACATACCGCATGTGCGTGAGGCTTCCAAGGTCTCTTTGGGCGAGATGGACAAGGACATACAGATGCTGCGCACTGGCTTGGCGGATGTGGCGCGTGAGATCGAGTTCCATCGCAGCTCGGGACCCGCCCAGCAAGGCGATCGTTTTCTGCCTGTAATGCGTGAGTTCCACGCTCAGGCCTCGGTGCGCTTTGCCGAGTTGGAGGATAAATTCCAGGACATGAAGACGCGCTTCGATCGCGCTGTCCGTCTCTTCGGCGAGGACGGCTCCGTCCTACAGCCAGACGAGTTCTTTGGTATTTTCGACTCGTTCCTGGGCGCCTTCGCGGAGGCGCGTCACGACAACGAGAGCTTCCGGCGCCGCCAAGAGGAGGAGGAGAAGCGCGCCAAACAGGAGGCTGAGCTTAAGAAGCGCACCATTGAGCGCAAAAACAAGTCTGGCCTGATGAGCAGTGTTGCCCGCAATCTCGGCCTCAAGTCATCCTCAACCTCGACCTCCAACGACACCCCCGTCAAGGGCGACAACAAGGGAGAGTTTGACGATCTGATTTCGGCGCTTCGCACCGGCGATGTCTTTGGTGAGGACATGGCCAAGTTCAAGCGGTCGCGCAAGGCTCGAGTCCTCAATGGCAGCGCTGGCGGCCAAACCTCGCCGCCTCGCCATGGCAGCCTGCAGCGCGAGGAGAGTGGCAGAGAGCGCGAGCGTACCGTGCGAAGGCAGTAGAGCTAGCGACCGGAAGTATAGAGATCGCCGACCACTCCTGTAATTTACTTACAATTAGTTATCGTTGTATTCTACTTTTTTCTTTTTTGTTTATAATACATTTGCTGCGTCAATTCTTAAGCTCTAAATGTAACAATTTTTTTCAATGCGCGCAAATCTCTATTTTTTGTTTTTTTGTTTTCTTATATAAACTACTTATACATAATATATATACTTACTTATATATGTATTAAACAATTTTTTTATGTATTATTTATACACATGCAAATCTTTGCTAACAATGCAAGCGTGAAACCAAATTTTTTATAATGAATGTAATTTACAATTTATATGCTAATCAAATGAAAATGTTATAAACTAATAAGATAAACGAAACGTCGAGCAGCAAAAAAAAAATGTAGCGTACCTTTCAATTCAATTGCATTGTTTATTGTAGCAGCAACACATATAGTACATAAACATTTAAACATTCATTAAAACATAAATACTATACATACATATACATATGTATATGAATTGAAAATTAACAATTTGCCACAACATTAAAATCGTAACACGTTACAAAGTTAAATGCTCATCATAAAACTAAAAGCAAAACTCAACTTAGCACTCAACATAATCATAGCACATAAAATAATAAGGGGGCCTGCCTGCCTGCCGGGATTGTGGGAAGCGAAAGGCCGGCCTGCCATAAAAGTCATGTTTTTTGTTTTCATCTCTCTCTTTTTTTTGGCACGAAACATAAAGACAAACAAGCTACGGGTAACACAATTTTAAACGTGTTTATACGATTTCTAAACCGAAACGGGGAGCGAATGTCCTTGAAGCTTGGCGAGTTTGAAGATAAATATTGATTAATATAAAATATATATATAGAACGGATAAAAGAAAATATTATTGCGAAAAATTATTAATATATTGTATTGTATTGAATGTATTGAGAAAATTGTGTGGGCAGCCGAAGCCGCAGGTATTAATAAATAAAAATTATGAAATATAAATTATTCTTATTGTGTTGAAATATGCTATCATATAAGTTTTAATACTTTGACAGCTTAACCGCGCGATTTGCACATTTAATGAAGCTTACAAATATCCCCAAACACGTTCTCAGTTCATGCATGGCCCTTCCCATTCCCATTCTCTTCGCCATTGGGACCCACCAGCCATTTGTTAACCACCAGCCTGCCCTCCACATTGGCGCTAGACAAGCGCTGTTCGAACATCTCGTAGGAAATAGTCTCGCGCCCCTCAAACATCTGATCCATCAGCAGCTGTAGTTCCGCCTCTATGTCGCGAGCCGCCCCCTCATCGCCCGCATCGGTTCGCGGCAAGCTGCTCAGATAGGCATCCATCGCTTGTCGAAAATCTTCGCATGCTATAAATCCGGCACGTCGTGTGTCCAACATCTGACAGAGCAGTCGCATCTTGTTAACCCGATTGTCGACGCGCTCTGGCGGTACAGAGTCGAATTGAGGCACCAAGAAGATCGCACATCTGCGCAGAAACTGTTCAAAATCGATTCGATCCCCGCCCTCGGCAAAGAAACCATCCACGATCTGGCGATGCAGCGGATTCTGCGCCAACTGTGGAATGCGCAGCAACTCCGTGGGCGTTAGATAGCCCCGCTGTTTGCGATCAAGTGCCTGGAATCGTGCGTGCAGATGCTCCACTTGGGAGTAAGACAGACCTGTGGCGCTCTGATGGGCCTTCAAATCAGCGGTGCTCAGTTGGCGACTGAGCAAGAGACCCATATTGTTATATATGTATATATATGTATGAGTGTATTGGTTCGATGTACGGGTCGGTTTGACTCAACTCAGCTCGGCCTGTATGTGGCTTATATGCTTAAAGTTCTTGCTGATTGTCTGCTTTGAGCATTAATTCACAGCAGGCTCGTGCCAAAAGTCGTGAAAGTGCAGCTGGCAGGCAATTTACCATACGAGCATAAATAACTTAACTGAAATTTATAGTTATACCGATTTTGAAACAGGACTTTTATGTACATTATTTTAAATTTGAGCAGCTTTAAAACAGAAAATTCGGTGCTTGTATTGAAAAGGTGTCTAGACGACACCCGCTAAGCTATTGCAATCTTACATAACTCAAAGTTGTGAAGTTATTAAGAAGACCTCGAAGCAGGCAATGGAACCTAAGATAGCTGAAAATCAAAGATGTATCTTGTATTTGGATTAAATACATAATTAAAAGCTGTCTTCGAAAATATCGACTTTTTTTAAGCTCGTGCTGCTTGGCCTCTCCCACAGGCCAAATATAAACAAATTTTTGAATATTTAATATTATAAATAATCAATGTTCTTTATATTGTTTAATGTTTACTTATAAACTTAAAAAGAAGTGTTTGTTTTTTCTCATCCACTTGTCAACGAAATTTGAAATCTTTGAATAATTGTGGCAACGTTACAATCGACAAGCTGGCAGCACTCAGCAACAAGTTTCCAGGGTGGCTCAATAAATAAAACGAACGAAAGGGGAACGGACTAATTGAGCAAATGGATATTTGAAAACTGTCAACAAACCACTGCACTGCAGTAGCAATGCTAAGCGACGAAAAGCACAGGGAGCAACAGGTTCTTGTTGGGCTCATTATGAGCTCCAAGGAAGCAAAACAAAATAAGACAGTATCAGAAGCTAGAAAAGCCCAAATTCGGATCGAGATGATGAACTTTATGTTCACTCTAAATCGACTTACATATGTACAGGGTGCGCCATCTTTTATGTCGGTATGTAAATATTGGATAACTTTGTCATTAGTGAACCGATTGACTTGAGTAGACCAGTGTTGAAAACCTCAGTTCAAGAAATTGTACAGAAGCAAATTAAATAAAAATATCTCATACTTGAAAATCGGTTGTTTATTTTCAAAGATATTCAATGTTTACATACCGACATAAAAGATGGCGCACCCTGTATGTACATACTGGCAAGACTAATGAAGAATTCCTGCAACAAAAGAAGCGCAGTGAATTTTCGATTCAGTTATTCCCTGTTGGTTTATTTTTTACTTTAATGATTTCTGTTGGCATATAGTCGATCTGAAAATGAAAAGCATATTCCATATTCGATTGTCCTGAAAATAATACTGGAAAGTACATACATATGTATGTATGTATGTGTAATAATTTCTGAACCGTCGTACTGCAGAAGAAAGCTCGATAGCTCTCTCAAATAAAGAACGCAATAAGAAATCGTTTGTTTATATTCTCTTTGTGAAGTTTATTCGTTGAAATATGTTTACTGCTAACCCCAAAAGTATAACTCTTCACTTCTTTGGCGCCGCGGCTGGTGCCGGCGGTGCTGGCGCTGCTGGCGCTGCTGGTGCTGCTGGTGCTGCCGGCGGTTGTGGTGGTGGCGGTGCTGCTGCACCACCCGCTGGCGGTTTATTGGGGGCGGCAGCAGCTGGCGGCTTGGCTTCTTTGGCGCCGGCAGGCGCACCACCTTTGGCCGCAGCCTCGGCCGCTTGCTTTGCTTCGGCCGCCTTCTTGGCGGCTGCCTGAGCCGCCACTAGAGCCGCATCGCCCACAGGCACGTCCTTCATGGCGCACGCTGGCGTTGGCTTTGGCTTACCCAAGCAGACCTCCGATAGTTTCTGGTGCTCCAACGTATAGCCCGATACACCACGTATGCGGGGCTCCAAATTGCGGGCATAGACGTCTGCGGCCAACTCTATCAGATCGACCTCGCGCTCGGTGAGGGTCTTCTTGCATTTCTCATCGATGTCCTTTCTGGCGCCATCCTCCAACGCCTTCAGCTCCTCCTCTGTTGCCAGGCACAGATCCAGTATCTGCTTCCGGAAACTGGCAATTGGGTCCCGCTTCTCCCGCATTTTCTGTACCTCTTCTCGGGAGCGATACGAGATGCCGGGATCGGACATCGAGTGGCCCATATACCGATAAGTGTTCATCTCCAGGACAATGGGTCCCTTGCAGAGTGCGTACTCGATGGCGAATTGGGTCGCACTGCGTACCGCCAGCACCTGATTGCCATCCACCCACAGGCCGGGTATATAGTGGCCGCGCATATAGTAGTCGGTGAGGGCGGCAGCGCGATCGGCTCTCGTCCCCATGCCATACACATTGTTCTCGCACACGAAAATGCACGGCAGGCACCACAGCTTGGCCATGTTGTAGACCTCAAAGATCTGGCCCTGGTTCGCAGCACCGTCGCCATAGCAGGCGATACAGACACCGCCATCGCCGCGATATTGATGGGCCAGAGCCACGCCCGTACCCAGCGGTACCTGCACGCACACAATGAGAGAAAAAGAGAAGGCAATATCGTCAATAGATCATAAAGCGTCGAAAGCGTGGTGGCGGGGCTGTGCTTTCTATTTACAAGTAATTTAATCACAAATAATACTAAGTTGAATCTTAAAGCAGTTTCGTTTAAGTGCTTCGGATAATTTTAGTTGAATCGTGATTTTTTTTATGAAATTTCAGAGCTTAGTAAAACTTGTATTTTACTCATTGTGCTGAACAAGAGCTATACATTTTGGAATCTGCCGGCTGTCCTTCTGAGCGTTACAAATAAGCTTAGCAAGGTTACATGGTCCGTCCCCCCAGGCCTATCGTGGTTAGGAAGTCGGCCCCCTAGTACATAACTATACTTGCTACTGGTTAAAGCCCTTTAGTGTGGAAAAAACTTTCGATTTGATAAATATTATTATTTTATATAATATTATTATATATGTATGTTATAGTTTCTTTAGAGCTAGCTGTTGAGTTGGCCAAAAAATTGACGGCCAGTCCCCATGAAGACATGATTTGAAAAATAGGCAGCAAGATGATTCACTTAAATGCCCAATATTGGATGATGAAACAATGGATGTAAAAAGGTACTCAAAAATATGTACAAAACACAGACATATTGCTGTCAATCAAAAGCATCAATCACCATTCTCAAGTCAAATCATTCATCATTCTTAAGTCAAATCTTAGAACAACTCAACGGAGAATTCGCCTTTGAGATCTGTTTCTAGCCTTTTTCTACAATCAAGCAACAGTTTCTAGTCTAGTGTTTAGTGTCCTGTCATATCATTACGCTCCATGATGGTTCAATCATTGACCTTACCTGGGCGCCAACAATGCCATTGCCGCCATAAAAGTTTTCCCCGTACATGTGCATGGAGCCGCCCTTGCCGCGACTGCAGCCGCTGCGGGCGCCGACGAGTTCGCCCATCATGGCCTCGACGGAGACGCCCATTAAATAGGTCCAGGCATGGCAACGGTAGGCGGTGATCACAGAGTCCTGTTTGCGCATAACGGCACGCATGCCCACGGCAATCGCCTCCTGGCCAATGTAGAGATGACAGAAGCCGCGAATTTTCTGCTGCTTATAGAAATTGGCCGCTTGGGTCTCCATGCGACGCGCCTCCACCATTTTGGTGAACAGATCGAGGGCGTCATCGCGTGACAATTCCACATCCATGGGGGGACTCGTCTCCAGCTCAAAGCACTTAAAGGTCTGCAGTAGATTGATGGATAAATAAAGGAAGCTCTCTCTTTCTCTCGCTCTCTCTCTCTCTCTCTCTCTCTCTCTGAGGGCACTCCATACTTACATTCTGCAGCGTCAGGGTGCCACAGCCCTCCGAGTAGTGACGCGCCCATTGAATGGGGCTGCCTCGACTCACGCCACTTACGCCACGAAAGCTCCGCAAAAGGTGGCCCAGCAGGAGCGGCCGGCGACAGGTCAGCCTCAATAACATCGACGCCTTGGGCGTTGCAACCATTTTGGCATGCGTGTGCGAGGGCGTGGGTCGATCGATTCCGTCTGGGGGTCACAGAGTTGTCGAATAGCTGACCTGCAAACCGGAGCCGCGTTATGCCTTCCCACCTCTTCGGACAAAAGCTTAGAGTCCAAAATTTTGTTCTAAGCCAAAATGTATAAAAAAAATTTCAAGTGTGTATGCCGAAAATATGTCTGTAAATGCTCAGAGTCTGGATGGGGGACGACATAAGCAACAAATGTGTTTAGATACGATTAATATACGATTTATGTATATGTCTATATATATATATATATATATATATATATATATATATATATATAATAATAATATAATATATATATATACAAATATATAATATTATATTATATTAAATTATATTATATTATACATATATATATTTATATATATGTATTTATGTGTGTACAAAAAATCGTAAAGAATGATAATGCTAGGAGACTGTTTTTATGTCTTGTAGGTTTTTATTTCAACAATTCACAATCCGCTTTATCAATATTTTTGAACACGTTGTTATTTAATATCCGTTTATACCCAAAAAAAACTCCTTCACACGGGGTGTGTGTGTGTGTGTGTGTGTAGGTGAGTGTGTGTGTGAAAGCTAAGCTAAGCTATAAGTATTCTGGGTAATATTTAATGTGTGTGATATTTATAATTGTTCTACTTTTCATTTCAGTTTCGACTTATGAGCTAAAGAGTTTGCCTGTCTTGTCGTTGTTATCCTTGCGCCATCCTCCGACTCTCCTCTCTCTGTCTCTGTTTCTGTCTTTCTGCCTAATGATTGACGCCCTTGCGCTCCGATACGTGATCGATGTCGTAGGCAATGGTTCCACGTATCTTCGTCTCCAGATTATTGGAGTATACATCAGTCCAGAGATGGCTCGGCGCCAGCTCAGAGTCTGACTTGGCCACGGCTGTAGCCTCGTCGACTTCCTTCCGCACCTTCAGATCAATGGCCTGCAAATTAATAAGGATAATTATATTAATTAAAGTTTTGAATGGAATTTCGCTCATATTTCTCTTTCTGCATTTTTAATTCACAGTCTTCAACAGCCATCATATCTCTCTTTCTATTCCATTCTCACTCTCTAACTTCCATCTCTGTTTTTTAAGCTTTAACCCAGCATGTATTTACAAGTATCTTTCTTTTCCAACTTCCGCTACCATGTCTCTCTTTTTGTTCTATTCTCACTTTCCAACTACCATCATTATTTTTCAAGAATAAAAATCAGAATAAAAATCTTCCCAAACTGACTTTTTTTTAATTAGATTTCCGCTGTCACTTCAGTTCATCAATTTGTGTTTCGGAATTTTCTAAATTTTCTTTCTAAATTGTATTCCGCAAAAGATGATTGCTCTCGGAAGGGATACATAAGTTTACTTTGTCCTTCTTGTTCTTGACATTTCTTCATTTCCCATTGAGTTATCTCTCATAATGAGTGTCTGCAGAAATGAGAAATTTTTGAGCTGGTTACACAAACGCAGTTCTGGGATGTTATTATTAGTATTAGGTGTCAATAATTTTTTAGATAGCTGGAAATGCAGGTAAGCTGGGTGTAAATGAAAGAGCTTTTTGGCAAAACCTATTGATACCAAGTTTAAAGGTAATTCTTCAAAATATTGAGAACACCTTATTTAATATCATCCTTTAAAATAATTCTGTGACGGAATTTCTCACCTTGATCTCATCGGCATTTATCAGACCCAATTCAATGCACATCTCCTTGAACGAGGTGATGGGATCTCGCTTCTGACGCACTTCCTGAATCTCCTCGCGCGTGCGATATGAGGTGCCCGGATCGGACATGGAATGGCCCGAATAACGATAGGTGTTCGTCTCCATGATCAATGGTCCGTTCTTATTCACATAATCGATGGCGAATTCGGTTGCGCTGCGCACAGCAAGGACATCCATGCCGTCCACCCAGATGCCGGGCAACGCATCGCCGCGTGTGTAGTAGTCGGTGTTGCAGGAAGCACGCTCAGCACTAGTGCCCATGCCTAACCACAAATAAACATTGAATTAGTCTCTGAATTAATATTGAAGGGACGATTGAGTGGACCCACCATAGTTATTATTCTCGCAGACAAATATGACGGGCAGTTTCCACAGATAGGCCATGTTATAGGCCTCAAATACTTGGCCCTGATTGGCGGCACCATCACCATAGAGCGCCAGGCACATGCCACCATTGCCCTTGTATTTGCAGGCCAGAGCCACACCGGTTCCCAAAGGCACCTGTGGACAGAGAGATAGATAATTATTTAAGGCGTTTCTATCGTGAATATTTTCGGAATGAGTTTGTTGAAGCAATTGAAGGTGTTGAAGGACTTTATTCCCAGAAAGCTATCGCAGCAACTACTTTAGAAGAATTAGAAGAATCTAATTAAGTAGAACATCAATAGAATAAGCCCCCAGATCATTAATTAATGAACATTTCTGCATATGTCAAGTCGATGGCGCCATCGATAGGTCGACAGCCGAAAGCCAAGTTATAGATAGAAAAACTGATTACGTTTTACATGTAAAACACATTGAAGCGACTAGGGGTCTTGATTGGCCCGCAATGGGACTGATCAAAGCTCACCTGAGCACCGACAATGCCATTGCCGCCAAAGAAATTTGGAGCATACATGTGCATGGAACCGCCTTTGCCGCGTGCACAGCCCCCCTGGACACCGGTGAGTTCGCAGAGCACGCCGGCTGGCGGAACACCCATCAGATAGGTCCAGCCGTGCACACGATAGGCGGAGATAATGTTGTCCACATCCCGCATGGCCGCCTTCATGCCGACGGCGCAAGCCTCCTGTCCGGAATATAAATGACAAAAGCCACGAATGATCTTCTCCTTGTATAGATTACCAGCGGCGGTCTCAATGCGGCGTATCGTCTGCATTTGTGTATAATATTTGAGTGCCTCATCTTTGGTCAGCTTCACTGTGGTCTCGGGACCTTCGTCCAAACGATGTAGTTTGAATGGCTACAAAAAAAAGCAAGAGAAAGCATGCGGTAAACTGATAAGAAATGTAAACAAAACGCAATCACGCACGCATACACGCACTTCTCACGAACCGACTGATAACGATCACGCGCTTGGCACGCAAAATTGAAAAAAAACGATGCTAAGCGTGACCTTGAACAGCTGACAGTTGTAGCAACAACAACAATACAAACAACCGTCTGTGCGCTGCTAGTGCAACCCTGTGCAGTTTAGAAGAAGGTCACACTTACATACACGCACACACACATGCGCATTATGTAATCTGTGAATGCGTTTCTACTCTACTTTTCTTCAATTTCTAATTTGACTCTTACACGATTCACTTGCACGGTGGCCTCCGTGGCATAGTTGTTTGTCTTTGAGACACCAGCCTGTGCAGCATTCTGGAAGAAACCGAAAAAGGATGATGAATATTTCCGTCTGCTAGCTAATTTCAGCATTTGTTGTTGTTGTCCACCCAGTAGCTGTTGTTGGTGTGTGGGTGTTGATGGTGATGGTGGTTGCCACTTCTCCAGCAGCAATTTCGATTGTCCAATGTTGTTGCTGTAGTTGTTATTGTTATGTTGATGGTGGTTGTCGTTGTTGTTTTTGTTCTTCTGTGGCACACTTTGCTCATTTGTATTAGTAGTTGTTGTTGTTGGATTAGTTACAGTTACAGTAACAGCTGCTGCTGTGTGGGTATTACGTACTTTTTGCAATTGTTTTACAACAATTGGCAATTCGCTAACGCGTGACAACGTACGCAGCATTTCGATCGGCAGTTTCTCTTTTAACTAAATCGTATTTTTCTAATGGCAATTGCGCGCGCACTTCAACACACACACAGAAACGCACGTACACTAAGAGTGGGGAAGAGTAGCAAATGTCGCCGTCGTCGTGCAACTAAATTAAATACTATAAGTTAATATTTTCGTTCGCGTAACAACTGCGGCAACCGCACTAATTTTTTTTAATGCTTTTCAGCCGCTACAGCAAAAATGTACTAATTGGCATTTTTTAAGCCCCACGCATGCAATTGGCGTTTTCGGCAAACAGTACATTTGTCCCGCTCGCACATATGCTAATCAGAACGGTGTGGGTGGCCTGGCCATATAGCAAGTGATTTTGGTATTTTTGTATACCATATGTGCTCAGCTGTAGAGGGTTTGTGCATTGGCTAACCACTAAAATTACACGTCTCTGTTAAATACAAATGTGAAAGCTTTTACAGACACGGGTATAGATAGTTTGACAAAAACAGAATCTAAGCACCATATTAAATGGCCTTTAAATATAGACTCATACATATACATATAGGTAGATATCGGACAAAAATAAGAGAGATAAGGAATGAAGACTGCCTTTAAGAGATAATCAATGCTAGTGGCACATTTGTCTTCTTAAAAACCAAAATTTAAGTTTAAATACATAGTAAATAGATAAATAGATAGTTTTAAAATAGGAAATATTTAAAAGGAAAATTAATTTTGATGAAATTGTATTAAAAACCACACAGATTTGAAACATTTAAAATTCCCGAAGCTTTTTGGAACATAACCTCACTTTGTATAAAAAAAGCTGGGAACTAATTTAAAAACGTTTAAATTCAATTTAAAAGGAAAAGAATTCATATTTTATACTATTATTTTATTTTTTAAACGTGACAATACTTCGTGTTTTGTCGGTGTTTTCCAATCCTTTGTAATATCCTTTGTAGAACCACATACAAAGAAACATGGAAACATACATATATACATATTTATGTATGTAGGCCGGAAATGTTCACTCCCTTTCCACTGTGTGCCTTCAGAAGTATTTGCTTCATTCCTGAAAATGTTGCAATCAGAGTGTCCCAATAATTATGCCTGTTAGTGTTACAGTTTACAGTAATTTTCATCTGACCAGCCAGTCTAAATATAGCTCTGTAACCCCAAATTATTTAAGTGCTGCATTCGCGTCCGTGCACACACACACACACATACACACATGCACAAACGTATGCATATGCATGTGCTTTTTTATGTAGATATGTATGTATGTATCTTGTATCTTTGCACCTGAATGTTTGTGCATTTATCGAAAGTCTCGTGACCTGATTTCGTGTGGAATTGTAGGCGCTGCTAAGTCGAATTCCAATGGGGAATTGCGAATGATTAATGATTCATGCACTCGCATGACTCACTCGCAGGACTAGCGAAATCCTGACTCAGTGTATTGCCGTTTGCTTGGTTTGCATTGCCTAATACGGATTTAGTTGGCCGGTCGATGTTTCCTTGTCTTCTTCATCACAGACACCCTATAATGGGGAGAGAAAGCTAGCGCTTGGAATAAACCAAATGAGCTCCTAAAGCAAAGATTCTGCGTCGTAAAAAACTGGTTCAATTGTACATATATTTTCAAAAATGTCTCAAATTCATTGTTGTTTAGGAGATACATATTAGTTTCGAATTGAGCGATATTGCAAATATTTGTGGCTCCCAAATAAGAACCAAATCGGGAATATTTATAGTTTTCCAGACTACAGACACTTGAACCAATTACCCCATCACCTTTTATGAGAACTGTTGCTTGTTTTAAACGAATTGTTAAGATACATTTCAAGATTTACTTTATTTTCAGATTTACGAATGCTATGCTTTTTCAAATACTTAAAGCACCGAGCTTGCACTCGTAATTACAGAACTCCTTAGGTTCAAATTTGTGAAACGTCCTTTATTCCTGAAACCCATTTTTTATCCACTACAGTCATTCAACATAAAAATATCCTTCGGTTCAGGGAATACCAATAAAATATAATGGAATGCATAGTTTGGTTTTAAGAAGTACTTTTATTTCACATTGAAGATTTCATTTTTGTTTTCCATTTGTTTGTATTTGGTTTCATTATCTTATTTACTTTAAATTTACCATTTCTCCGTTTGTCATTTTTTATAATTCACTAATTCTTACAAAAACTTAAGTAAACTTCATTTTCCATGCACATAATAAACGAGTAGAATAAATTATATAGAGCAAGTTTAAGTTTAAGAAAAAATTATACAACTAAGTTATTTTGTTCTTGTTGTTGTTGCTTTTTGTTTTGTTAAGGCTAGCTTTAAAGAAACGGCAGCAAAAAGTTTCAAGTTTTGAGTTTTTTGCAAAGAACAAGAAGATGAATGAAACTAAATGGGGCGCATGTTTAGTGCTGTGAAACGTAAAAGACTGTAGTCTGTTGAATGGGAGTGGCAGGAGGGGCAATAACCCAAATAGACGGCCAATTCAAAATCAATATGAACGATAGTTGTCAAAAGTAGGAAACAAATGATAAAAGAAAAACGCAAATGCCGACACGCGTACTCTTTTCTTCTTCTTTTCTCTCTTTTTGTGGCTTATGGTTTGCTTAGCATTACACACATACATATGTATATGTATTCATATTGAATCAATTTGTTCAATTTTTTGTTTTTTTTTTGCTTTGTTTTTGTATGTCCTGTTTTCCGTTACATCAAAAATTGGTTTTCATGCTTGGTTGCACAAATATTCTTCATTATGACAAAAAATTATGTTTTTTCTTCATTTTCTATTTTGTTTTCTGTAATATATATTATATATATATATATATATATATATATTTGTATATAAACACTCATTAGAAGTCCTCATTAGTTGTGTTTGTGTGTATAGTTTTTTTTGTTTGTTTTTTTTTGTGTCTTTTAAGAAATTCAAGAAAAACGTTTCTTTGATAAATAAGTAGCTTGAGTGTATTTGAATATTTAAGAGAGAGTATGTGTGTGAGTGAGTGTTTGAGAGTAGACATATGTGTGTGTATGTTTGTGTGTGTCTTACCGTTAGCATTAAGAGTTGTGTCTACGAAAAACGTGCACCAAATATTTATCTAAACGTAAATAGCAAAGAGTTAGCCGTGCGGTGTACAAAAGTTACGGTAAATGTGTATGTATGTTGTATGTCAGTGTTGCGAAACGCCGGCATCTGCAATGGCGTTGCAGTTGTGGTGTGATAGGGTTAGGGAGGGGGCTGCTGTGTGAGGAATTTACGTATTCTTTTTGTTGTTGCTTAAGCTGTTGTGTTTTGTATTTTTTTAAATAGTTTCACTTTTATGTGATTTTCTTTCCATTTTGTTTTGTTTTTTTTTTTTGTTTTGCATACTTTACACCAATTTATTATGTTACTTTTATATATATTTTTTTGCTTTTGTTTTGCATATTTTGCTGATTTCAAAGAAAGACAACATCAAATAAAGTTGAAAGAACGAACATATAGCACACATTTATGTCAACATACATACATATATAACGATTGGCTGAGCGATTATGCTGCTGCTGTTTTTGTTGTTCTTATTTTTCAGTTTATAATTTATGTATACTTGTATTGTATACTTTAGTTTGTAGCGCTACAAATCGTAGCTGTTGGTTTTTTGTTTTTCTGTGTATTTTGTGGATGGAAATATATTTTTGCTCGATTCCATATACATATGTATTTAATAAACTTTCATCGATTTGTTTGCTGCTGCTCTTGCACAAATACAATAATTTACACTTAAATATGCGTCAAATATTTATTAAATTTGCAATTAGGAAAAATGCTCAGCACGCTGTGCGATTCAAACTGTTTACAGTTTTACAATCACTGTCACTTCACTCCACCCCCACCTCATCATTCTTCAGCATGCTGTGCGCTATTCAGATTTTTGTAAACCAAAATATTTTAACACGCCGATTCTGTTCAAAGCAAAACATTTAACTATACACTTCTATATATCGCATATAACATATATATTTGTGTATATATGCATGCTTCTTTGTTTTACTATTTGCTTGCTATGTTTGTAACCGCTTTTGTTATTTTTCTGTTTTTTATTGACGTAAAAAGAAATGTTCTTCTATATGTACGTTTATTAATTTATTTTCATTTTTTCTTTGCTTGCTCGTTCGGTTGCAGTGGTGGTTGTTGCCTGTGCTGTAAATGTTGGTGTGATTGATCGCATGTGGTATGTGTATTTGCTAAGTGCAATGCGCCGTCTGTAGCGAAGACGGCAACCAACGTACAAAATCATAATTTTATGAAATACATACCAGAATCCAATCAGATCCAAAACAAAACCAATAAATATGATTTCAAAAACAATAATAAATATGAGAAAAGAAACAATAAGAGTGCGAATGTTTTATATTACATTATAACTTTTAATTTCTATCTCAGTTTTTACATAATCGGTTGTTGGGCCCCGTGCAATTCAAGCACATACATACTTGTATAATTTTGTAATCAAATTATAGAAGACTCTGTGCTTCAACTAAATTTCAACTTAAATTTAAAACGATGTGAGGAGAAGCTTAACGAAATCATAAAACTAAAGCAGCGTTGGTCCAACTGTTGCCTTTATCGGGCAACGCTTAAATAGAGTAACAAGCAATCATTTTGTCCATATACATATTTATATATGCGTGTGTGTGTGTGTGTGTACATTTTTGCCGCGCGCCTGTTTTTGTTACATTTGTTGTAAAATTTGCATGAACTATGTGTGTGTGTGTGTTTGTGGCTGGAACGATTGTGTGCACTGGCCTTGGCTAAGCGACGTCTGGAGGGGCCGACAACGACAACAACGACGACGGCGACGATGAAGACGACGACGACGACGAAGACGGCGGTGGTGGTTGTTGTGGTTGTTGTGGCGGGGGCGGCTCTTGCTTTAAATGCTCCTCAGCTTCGTCAGCGCGCCTGCAGCTGCTACAGCTTGTGGCATCGCTGTCTTCAACTATGGTAGCATCATCATCAAATTCTTCACTGCTCTCATCAACCTGTTCATGCTCCTGCTCCTGTTCCTGCTCTGTCTCCTCCACATTATCATCTTCATTCTCCTCTTCATCATCTCCTTCATCGACTTCGTCATCTTCGTCGTCGTCATCTACATTCTCAGCCAAGTCCAAATCCAAATCCATATCTAGCCCCTCCAGTTCTGTAGGTGTTGTTGCTGTTGCTATTGTTGTTGTTGTTATAACTTTTGTCGCTATTGTTGTGGTGGTTGTGGTTGCAACAGTTGCTGCTGCTACTTCTCTTCCTCCTCCTTCTGCTCCGTCTGCTCCTTCTTCTTGTAGTTGATGTTGTTGCGTTCTTTGTTGTTGCTCCTTGCGCTGCCCCTGCTGTTCATTATTTAGCTCATTAACAGACGTGACATGTTTGTGTTGTTGCTGTTGTTGTTTTTCCATCTCTTGCCATGCCCTCACCCCTTCCCCCGTCACCATCTCTAATGCTTCTCCCTGCTGCTGCTGATGTTGCTGCTGTCCTTCCTCACTCCCAACATTCTCCTCCTTCTGTTCTTGTTGCTGTTGTTGTTGTTGTTGTTGTTGTTGTTGTAGTAGTAATTGTTGTTGCTGTATCTGTTCATGTTGCTGTTGCTCCTCCAACCTCCTTACCACCACTTCATCCGACTCGACAATACTTTAACCGCTCTTAAACAATAAAATGGCCACCTGGCCCAAATAGAAATAAATAAAGTGGCGTGTCTCGTGTGTGACATACGAGCCGAAGTTGCGACCCACAATGCAATGCCATGTTGGGTTGTATTTTTTGTCAAACTCCTTCTTGATGTAGGCTGCAATATCCTGTAAATAGAATTAAAATACTACTTTTAAAATTGTGTTCCATATAAAGATAACTTAACTAAAGACATCTCCCCCTTTATTGGAGAAATAAAACGGAGAAGGCACTGCGTCCTTTTGTGGTATTTTATACCCCAAAAATATGTGTCCTTCCTTATAAAAGAGAGAGGTTCTACGCAGATAACCATAATACAAGTTTTCAAAGACAATTTTAAGCATAACTCTATTATGATAGATTGGTAAGCCCCATTTACGATATTCCCAAAATGCAAATACGAAAAAAGGGGAGAAATCCTGAATTCGCTTTCTCGGGCACATTCACGGACCAGCTTATATCGATTCTCCTTCCGCCAGTTACCAACCATATTTACGGATTTATTTGTAAACGCTTTCCATTCTTCGACGCTTCCGCTTTACGATTTAACAAAGTGCTGGCACAGCCAATGGGCAATAATTGTGTTTAACATATTTCGACGATATCATTTGATAGAATCGAACAGCATTATTCGACAGTTGTGATTGAGTGCAATGCACAAACACAGTTAACTTCCGGTCTGGTAGAAAATCAATAATTTTCTGCTAAGCTAAGTAGGCGACGTTCGACGAATAAGGTTCTAGTTGGATAACCACTAGATGTTGTGGCAATTATCTGCTCCTTCAAGATATTATTGCTTGAAATGTCAGCCAACTTCTTACAGAGGAGTCTATTTCGTTCTTCAACTTAATTTATAATAGTCGACCAATTCAGGTCCCGTTCAAAGAAGAGGAGGAGTCTTTTTCGTTTCATTTTTAATTAAAATTTATTATTATTTTAGACAGCAGGAGTGCCAATTTTTCTGCTTGCTAGTAAAGTAAAGCAAAGAACAATTACCTATGCACGACAAAAAGAAAAATAAAAATAAAAAAGAACGACGAAAGGAGAAACTTTGACAATGGCGCCGACACGGAAACAAATGTCTAAGTGGCTGCTAACTGTTTTGAAATTAGCAGCGGCGGCGGGGACGACGACGTCGACTTCGACGTCAACGGCGGTGGCAACTCAAAAAAAATGCCAGCCAGCCCGCAAGAGTCGCCGACCACCACACCACCACACTGCCACCCAAGCAATCAAGACAGGGTAGCAGCAGCGCTCCTAAATGCCTGTCACCGGGGTAACCCAAAAATGTGACCTCAAAACAGAGGGAGTGGCAGGGAGGGAGGCGCAGCAGCAGCAGCAGCAGCAGCAGCAGTAGGAGCAACAACAACAATAAAACTTTTATGGCGCGTCAAGTTTTGTGCTAATGAGTTAGTTTTGTTGTTGTAGTTCTGCTCTGCTTGACTAAGCAATATCCAAGCAGTTTAAAGCGGCCCAACACACGCGCACACACACAAAAACACAGTTTGTGAAGCACTGTTATTGCAATGGCTTGCAAACTGCAAAAGACAAGCTGGCAAATATTGCACATTTGTCATATATACTATACATACATATGTATGTTTGTATATATATATATATATATATATATATGTGTGTGTGTATGTGTATGTAATGTGTATGCATTGAATATATCATCAATCACATGGCCCTCTTCAACATCTCAATCGTCACACAATCATTATCGTCTGTCTCCTCCACTATCAAAAGGAAACGACAACATCGCATGAATGTCAAAGGTCATTGCCAGCTGTTTCGGTTTTGGCGGTTAAAGCCAGGGTTATGTAAACAGACACAAACACAAACGCACACACACACACAGTAACGCAAGAATACAATGGCTAAAAAGAATCGGACACGCCCACGCAGAAACAACCAACACACAGACACACACACACACATACACGCCCCCATCATGGTCGACCACGAAAGAACAAATACGCAATATTTTTTTTTGCACAGCCGCGGCCATAAAAATGTTGAAAGGTCGCGGCTCGTGAACATAAACTATTTTAACGAGCAAAAGGGAATAGTGTGGAAAAATGATGATAAAAGTGTGAAGAGAGCTTTAATTTTGGCTAGAAAGGGTAGATTCCAGTTATTGGAATTTCTATTTAAAAAGAGCCCTTTCTTGCAATATAACAATAAAACTTTTAATATTTTTCGCATTGCAAATGTTTATTTCCAGTCCGCTTTCTTCGTAGTGTTCTTCGAAATATTTTGGAAGATATGTATGTGGTACGTGTATATAGTATTTGTAGGTGAGCTCCAAACTATTTTCTATCTGCATTCTTTGAAATTTCTAGGGTTCCAGATGGGCTCTTCCACCAGGTTCTACAAAAATTCCATCAACTTTCGTTTAAATATTATTCTAAAAAGCATTTACATTGTTAGGAGACATGAAAACTTTATAAATACGCCTAATTCTGTTTTTACACGGTAGATTGGTTCCTAAAAAAGTCGTGTACAAATAAAACCGTGTAAAAAAATGCATAGAAATGCATTATGCAAAATGAATCGTGCTAAATGGAATAAATTTATGTAACCATATATAACATTTTTAATTTCCAAACCCGTGTAAAAACAGAATTATCAGGTGGCGGAAAACAAAATGGCGTTCCTTATGTGATCACTTTTTTTAAATTATTTTTATCCATTCTGTGAAAGTTTCATATCAGCAATAGTTCTAAAGAAGTTTTATGCTGACCCCGAGGTTATGTTCCTCAAGTATTCCTGTTGAATTCATTTATTCACTATATGTTGATAGTTGAAAAGGGAATTCGGACTTTCTTCTCAAGTGTCGAGGAGATTTGTCGTTTGTATTTAAAGTTTCATTCCAGCGCTTCTGCTCAGCAATGTGGTTTTGGTTTATCCCCACCACTATTAATTATTTTCGAATTATAAAACAAAGCCTATTTGTGTTTCCAACAAAAAACATTCCATCATATCCCCAATCGATAGACATCTTCTTGACCATTTCATCACTTTGTCGGCTGCCTTGCGCGATTCCTTTGAAAGGCAGACATGGACAAAGACAGCAAACGGTAACGGTCGGTCGGGCGAGGACGAAGGAGCGGGTGGTGTTAAGCTTGAAGCAAACAGAAAGTTGTTTCTTCCGCCATTGCACACCTTTGGGGGGGAGTGTGCGAGTAAGTTAAGGATTATAGCTTGGGTTGGGCCTGTTTGCTGGGGTGTGTAAAATCGGTGGCTGTGGGAGGAGCGGGTGGGCGGAGAGGTACGTGCGTGCCAAGTCGTAAACTTAACCCAGTGACCTCAAAAGCAAACAAAAAAATACAAACAAAAAAAAAATAAAAATAAAAAGGAGACAAATACCGACGCAAGTGCGGAAAAAGTGAGGCAAAAACAGAACGAGAGAATAAAACAAAACGTAACTTATTTAGTTGAGTGCCGGCAACTGTTACAGCTGTTGTTGTTGTTGTTATTGTGCTGTCGCGATCTCCAGCAGGCCTGCTTCACTATTGAGCCATTGTTGTTGTTGTTGTCGTTGCGTGTCTCGTGTCTCGTGTCATGTCAGACGACAATAATGTTGATTGTTTTATATTCAATTTGGTTGCGAGCGGCATAGCGCACGAAGCACAACAACAACAACACAGCAAGCAGCAAAAATTTGTTTTGGCAACGCCAAAAAAAAAAATATATATATATATATAAATAAACTGAACAATCTCACATGAGGGGTCGGGTCGGGTCGGGGAGCAGGAGCACCTCATGTGTGCTGGCATTTGGTTTGACGTTCCGTTTGTGCTCCACAAAAATATAATCAAGACCATATTTTGGACAGGCGGGCAGACGCATTTGAGCCTGAAGTCGCGAAGCTTGCATGCATTGCGCCCCAACAAAAACAAAACAAAAACAGTAACAAAAAAGAACAACTACGAGTACAGCGTCCCCTACAACACAATAAATGATGGAAAGGCACGGCCACTTTGCCACACTCAACCACAACTGTCCAAACTTAGTGACAGGACGACACGACTGTCGCACAAAAGACGAGTACGAGTATAGGAATCGATGCGACAGCGCTCGTTCAGGGTTTGACAAACTGTTTGTACATATGTACTATATAGGAAAGGAAATAATGCCACATTGTTTGGCGTACTTATATCCTTTGTCTCACCTCTGAGACAATGGCCGACGACCCCGTTCAACCATTTTTTGAATGTTACTCTACTGCTAGTCTGCTCTTCTAATATCAAAATGTGCTTGCTTTTGCTTTGCTTGTTCCTTTATGCTTTTCTCAGCTGATAATCGACTTGATTTAATGGCTAATCATTTGAAAGTTCACGTAATCTAATGGCCAATCAATTGGTGACATCATCGGCCCTAGTGCGAGTTGTTGTTTTCACACAAATTAGTTCTTTCCTTCACAAAGGATTTGTTAGGAGATCTTTAAAGATTAGTGCAGTTACTTCTACTTAATGCACTGCCTGTCTGAACTAAAAACAAGAGAGAACGCTACAGTCGAGCAGGGCCGACAGTGAAATACCCTGCACCCAGGTAATCTTCCGACGTTGAGGGGGGAATTCCAAAAAATAAAATAAACTCGTCCTTTCTCGGACCTAGGAGAATCTGGCTGCCAACTTTGGGTTTTCCAGCTTTTATAGATTGTGAAATCTTTGCGTTCATCCAGACAGACGGACGGACAGACGAACGGACGGACATGTCTAGATCGATTTCTCTCGTCCTGCTGATACAGAATATATATACTTTATGGGGTCGGAGATGCTTCCTTCTGCCTGTCACATACCTTGCACAAACCTAATATACCCTTTTTACCCTACGGGTACAGGGTATAAAAAAACAACAGCACCTTTATTCTATCTCGCGTTGTTGAAAACTACTACACACAAATGTATTTTCTGCATACAATTATTCTTTCCATTAAGTGCTATTAATTAAATATCATTATAATTAAATAATATTATTATCATTCTCTTCAAGCTTTTAGAGAGATTACATTTATTCGTACTTTTGTCTCTCATCTATCAATTGGCAAACATTAAAGCAATGTCCTCAATTCTATATATATAGTACATAGTATGACTGCAGCACTATAGTATTTAAGGAT